CACCCCATGAAAGACTTGCCTCAGTTTTCCTTCACTCTCTCTCTCTTCTTGTTACCACAAGACATCACTGAAACCCATGAGCCTCAATATTCCATCACGGCCTTTTCTCTTTCTTATCATCTGAATCTTTTAAAAAGTTCCTGGGTACAGGTAGATGGCACTGTTCTGTTTTATGATGTGGGTGTTGGTTATACAACTATAGACTCTTGATGAAATTCGAGCAGTATCATTACTTGTGCCCGTTATTCTTTGTTTGTTCACCTTAAATTACAATTTGAACAAAAATAAACAAAAGCATCACCTTCATCCAGAAACGATGTATTTAGCCCTTTTAGATTTACATGCATTTTGAGGTTAAGCTGTCTCCATAATCTCTTTAATCCTCTAATAGATGGGAACTGTTTTAAGAATAAATGCTGCATTTGTCTTTGTAACTCCTACTGCAAGTATCGCCATATGTTGTGTATAGTGGGCAAGATATGAATTTCTTGGGTACATTAACCCATAGAAGCGCCTGTCTTCTGTTCCCATATGATTTCTTTTGCTGTTTTAACTGCTGAATTATTTTGCAGTAACAGTGATATATAATAGATGTTACCAAATTGTATAATTTGAATTATTTTCGATTTAAGAAATCTTTGAAGATAAAATTGAGTCTGGATTGTTTTATGTTCCAAGAGAAATTCAGAGGTCTCAAACAAGGGATACTGTGTTGTTCAGGTTCAGAGGTACCACACTCATAAGAACTTCACCGTGGATGGCACCTTAGGCATTGTGCATTCCCAGCACTGTGCCCGTTTGCCACAGCCCTGCCTCAAATCACTGGGAGGGGTAAGGAAATGAATCAAAATGTGTCTGGTAACCTACGTTGTCAGAGTTCTAGCTTGCTCTTGAAGATGAATCAAGTAGCCATAAAGGGATGTCATTAATTTAGTCCTGTTATTAAACGTGAGTTTGCTGAATCCTTATCATGTGCCAAGAGGTTGAATGGCTGGGATAACTGGGGAAGGAGCATTCCAGGTGGAGGGAAAAGCAAATTAAAAGACTCTGGAGCAGCAAACTTTGTTGCTCTGATGTGATTGGGAAACAGTGAGTGGGAAAGGGCCTAATGCTGATCACATCAAGATGTGTTGGCCAGGGCAAGGAACCCTTGGATGGGCTACTGAATGATGCAATTTGACCTCGGTTTTAACAAGAGCACTCTGACTGCTGTTTTGAGGCTATGCTGTGCATTAGGGTCAGAAGTGCTGGGACCATTTATGATGTTACTGCTGTAATCCAGGGCAAGGTGATGGTAGAAACGGGGTGGCGTAGGTCACCTCCGATGATTCTGGATACATTTCAGGGACCAGATATCTGCTTAATATAAACTAGTTGTAACTTTGCAAGATTTTCATTGCCTTTGAACATTTTTTAAAGCTACATACCAATGATTGTTACCAAAGAGATTTGTATCATCATGACATGTATTACATATTTTTTCAGGTCTTTAATTGAGTTACTTTGATTTTAAGAGTGAGTTTTTTCCTAGTATTTTTGGCAAGAGATGCCAGTTCCGATTAATCTAGAGGGTTTATATGTAGACTTTTTTTTCTGTCTTAGGGCTTGAACTCAGGACCTTGCCCTTGTGAGGCAGGCACAGTGCCACTGAGCTAAATCCATAGACTTTTTACAAAGCAGTAGTTGAGCTTAGAGCTTAAGGCTGGCTTCTAGATGTACAGATTTTTATCTCACAGACAAAGCTTTTTAAATCCAGGAATTAATGAAGGATTGATTTTCACAGTCCTGTCATACTGGAATATTTGTAAAAATCTAATAAATGATTAGAATGGCTCAGTGAAAAAAATGATGTAACGCTGGTACTGCAACACTTGAATCCAAACAGCAATTGCTTTTTCTTCTTTCTTTCTCTTCTGTTTCGAGCATAGAAATTTTACTCTGTGGGGAGATTTATACTGTTTATACTCTGGATCTGTGGAGAATGCTTGCTCTTTTGTAATCATCTTCTGTTTTTCCCCTATTCATGTGACTTTTTTCTTTATAATTTCTCAACTTGATTTTTTCCTTTCCTTTCTTTCTTCTCCCTTTGATTTGAGACAATGAAGTAAGATGATGATAATTAACTTGGTAAGACAAATTACAAACCAAAAGAAAGTGTGGTAGTGACAACACACACATGAGAACAAAAACATATTTTACTTTAGATTTTCTTTATTTGAAATTCTACTCCATTATCAAACACAAAGCATGTGTTTGTCTACTCTATTTGAAGAAGAAGTGATTGCTCAGAACTCTTATTTTTACATAGGAAGGAAAAAACTCTTAATTCTCCTTAAGAGTTTTGCAAGTGTAAACTTACATTTAATGAGTATGCCATTCATGTACCTGTCATGTAACTGTCATGTACCTACTCATTTTGCCCCAGAATTTAGGAAAGGGCCTGCCAGATACCGGAAGATTACCAGAAGAGCTCATTCTAACTGGGACCTACTGTCATGTATAATAAGAGTCGAGAGTACAGTGAAAGCATTTATTTGGTTGTTAACATATTGATTCTGAAAAAAAAAGGTTCAGATATTCAAATTCAGTTAAAAAACCCAAATGATTCACACTTAATAATACTGTATGTTTTTATCATAGCAAACCACCAATGTGAGAGTATTCAGAAAATGTGGTCTATTGACAAAAGAATGAGTGTAACTGCATGATTATATATGTGACTATTATGTTGTAATACTATTTTAAAATATTAACACAAATGAATTCTACTGCTATACCATGTCCACATAGGGATTTTAATTGTAAACTATTTCCAGTACTAAAAAGTACGCATGTGGGGTGTTTTTCAGACTTTGTAAGCAGTTTTTAAAAAGGGCATATTGCGTGGCAAAACTAATTTAAACATGAATGTTTTTCAGTTACAATAGGATTGCTTATTTGATTTTATACTATACTAACTCAGTAGTTAATGTCAATTCCATTTATGTTGTTGACGATTAAAGGTGGGTTCAGCATTGCCAAAGCTTGAAAGGCTTTGCCCTGGACTTTGCTTGACTTGTGTTACTGAGTGTCGTTATCTTCATCTACACATGACGTGTCAGTGTCATCTCATCATCTCAGTTTCTTGAGTGAACACAGTAGATGTCATAACTTTCTTTCCTTCATTTATTTTTTATCAGAGTCAGTATATTTCCTTTTCCTTCTCCAGGCTGGAATAATGCATTTTAATAAAATAATCTTCATTATGCAATTAATTGTTGCATTTTTCTAACTATAATTCAGAATGCAGAACACTGTAATTCAGAGTTAATAGCCACCTGGAAAAGGAGAACAATAAATAATTTCCTACACTGTCCTTCGTTTAAATATCACATAAATAATTAACATTTTTGTTAATGCATTTACTTAGTTACATATTGTGTTTTGAAGACAGGTAGCAATTAATATTATGTTCAAATTTTAAAATAATCTCTAATAAGCATAAATAACTGAAAAATGGGTTTAGTCTGCTATCCTTTATTAAGATTGATGAGATCCTGATTTTTCATTGTGCCACAAATGATCTGGTTTTAGTTTTTTTAAACAAGTATATACTTTAATTTCATCCCCATCTGTATCTGTAGACTTAGCATATACAGAAAGTTCAGAGTAATGGATTTTTATATTTTAAATGTTTATTTACAATTTTTTTTTTGGTGCCAGGGATCAAATTCAGGACCTTGTACTTGGAAGGCAGGTGGCAGCACCACTGAGCTAAATCCCAGGCCTACAGCTATATTTTCTTAATAATTTTTCTGACCATAGAACTTCACTTGTTTTGAGAATGAGTAGGGCAGAGAATGTAAGAAAGTGATGTGATCCTCTTTCATTTGGTTTAAAATAGTGGGCTTTATAGTCCTATGTTTATGTTTACTCACCATTTTTATCATTTTAGAAATATTTAACCAAGCAATGACTATTGATTATTAGAAACCTTAAAACATATATTTCCCCTTTTATTTGAAGAACAGATGTTCTGGGGTTAAATACAATTTGTCATAGCTATGAGATACATAGTGAGTTCTACTAACAACCATTTCTGTTTCTGTGTGAAATTCGCGACTTATAAATCATTCTTATAACTATTTTTGTGGTGCTAAATAGTCCCGAACTTTCAGCACACAGGAAACCCCAAACAAAAAGAGATGATGATTAGACCACAATGCCACAGACCTGGCAGGTGCTGAGATATCTTCATTAGATCTCTATCGCCCTTTGATTTGATTTTTATTTGAATATTTATTTCAGATCAAGCCTCATACCATTACTTTTGCTCTTAGTAAATCCTCACCTATAAAAGAGCAACGTATTTTCTGTGTTTGCATATTTGCTGCCTTAAAATTGGATCTGGTTTCTCTGTTTACTTTGCCTTTTCAGTATATTTCCTAGATAGCATTGCATAACAATTCTTGGGGTACAATTTACAGAGTTCTATAGTTCTGTCTCCAATAATTCTATCCTTGCAAAGCTGACCTAGGAGTAGTCTCGAAACTGTTCACATTTATTCCACTTTTATTCCTAATTCTAATTCAGAGTTTGCTAGTACTAAGCCTTTCTTTATTATTAAAGAATAATTAAATTTATTCTTTAATTTTACCATTACCTAACTGTATGAAATAAATGCATATGTCAGAGACAAGTTTTAAAGTAGTGACAGTTAAAATCAACTCAACTCATATTTGTAATATAATTTTAGATGCATTCATTTTGTTTTTTGCTTGAAAAGTCTATAGAGGATTTCTTTTTAAGGAAAAACAATGCTTTTACTTGTACTAAAATCCTTCCTATCTCCTGCAATTGAAGGAAAGGCATATAAAATATGACTAAGTAATGAGCTTGGCATTAAAGCTTACCTTCAAATCACCTTTACCACTGTACTTATTTTTCTCTAAATGCAGCTTTATCGTTTCATTCAGTTACCATTTTTTGTGTTGAATTTCTCACGCTTTCATACTTTGCAGGTCAGTTTCTTCTGGAAGAAGCTCGCCTCTTAGAAGCGGCTGAGATGGCAAAAAAAGCAGCTGAACTAGACAGTACAGAGTTCGATGTTGTCTTCAATGCTGCCCACATGCTCAGGTTAGTTTTTTTTTTTTTTTTGTACCGGCATTCGAACTCGGGTCCTTGCGCTTGCGCAGTAGGCGGCAAAACCACTGAGCTAAATCCCCGGCCCGCGCAGGTTAGTTTTTGCCACTGTTCTTTAAAGGCCAATACTGTGACTTTGCTAAAATGATTAATTATATTAGCTTCCCTATCATACCACCTCATTCCACACTCCTGTTGCTCATACTGCATGACCACGTAAAACTTAGAACTGTTTTATTTACTATAGTCTATGTGTACCACAGTCAGGGCAGGTGAGCCCTGAAGACTCTGAATGTTACTTAGACCTTCCCTGGCTATTTCCTTCCCTCCAGAAATGTAGTCTGGTCATAAAATACAAAAGGAAAACTACAATATTTAATGTAATAATTGTCACATTAAATGTCCCAAAACAAAACATGTCATTTATTCAAGTGCATCTCCATTTTTTGTGTTTCTATATTAATTATTGTTAAATGTGGTATGTGAATACATTTGAATGTGTTAAACTAATAGTGGGAAGGATTATTAAATACAAATATACTTAAGGTCTCTGAATACCCTTGTAATCAGCATCATCTGCTGTGTTTTAGAACAATATATTTTTGGAATATTACCACTTCTATTTTCAGAAGGGTTATTCAAAGGCTAATTACAAGAATATCCCCAAAAGTCAGATCAGCTATTGTTGTTGTGAAAATAAAAAGAAAGTGCAACTGTAAATGGTGTTTTAGGATGTTTTCAAAAAACTAAAATGAGTTATACATGACTAGGAGTGTAGCTCAGAGGTTCAGTGCATGCGCAAGGCCCTGGGTTCAGGCCTCAATACCAGAAAAAAGAAGAGAAGAGAAATGGAAGAAGGAAGGATATGGGAGGGAAAGGGCATCATTTAGTCTGTTAACAATATGCATGTATGTCCCTTCTCCCATATTCTCACTTGCATTTTACTCCATTAAATCCCCACCTAAGTGTTTCATTAAGTGACAGCCACACTGTGGTCTCTCTACTTGACTTCTAGTGATAGATTTGTAATTATATAGATTACTCTCACAAGGGAGGAAAAATGAGAACTTTTGGTCTGGGGTGAGGCTCAATAGTAGACCATTTGGTTAACATGAATCAGGCCCTGGGTTCAGTTCCCAGCAATACACATACATACATACAGGCCTTTGAGAAATATAGAGGAACTATTTATTTTTCACCTTTATTTTCAGATCGTTGTAGGCTCAAGCATATTTGTAAGAAATAATCTGGACAAATCTGCACCATTTATCCATTTTCCCAAATGATATCTTACAAAACAAGAGTACATTATCATAGCCAGCATATTGATACTGATACAGTTGATGGGCTGTGTTGAGTTTCTTTGGTTTTACTTGTACCCCCCATTAGTGCACATCGCATGTGTGTGTACATGTGTGTGTGCGCACATGTGTGTATGTTTATTTTCCTGCAGTTTTGTCACATGCATAGGTCTATGTGTTCATCCCCTCAGTCACATCACAATCCAGTTCCTTTATCCCAAGTATCCCTTGTGCTGTCCTTTCCAATCCCATCCCCTCTACCCCTAGGAACCAATATTTAAAGCAAATTTTATAGATCAGCTTCTGTTTATCATTTGAAATCATTGTTAGATCTGTACCTTAGCGGCCTCCTGCTTGGCTTTTTATTAGTTTTAAATAAGCAATCTAAAACCTGGTTTAGAGGAAGGACACAATGTGAAGTTTCTGATGAATGCTCTCACTCTACATTAATGTTTAACATTCCCAAAGCACTTGTTTTATCATGAATTCAAGAAAGCTGGCACCTACAGAAAGAAATCAAGAGTCAATTGACTATTGGCTATATTTATAAATCGACTGACTATAGCCAATCTGCAAGAACCTTCAACGCAAGGATAATCTTTAGTACCTTAATTTGTATCACAAATTCTTGCCTTTCTGTTCTTCATGAATAAAACACTATGCTTCTAGTCACAATAAAGCATTTATAGGGACGAGAAGGCACAAGTTTCTATAGACTTATTCATCTTACTCAATAAATATTTTCATCGAGAAGTCATTGGCTACATATTAAGATAGTGTCTGGAATTCAAGGTCTACCCATTGAAACCCATTATAAGAGTATTACAAAAAATGTCCTTGTTAAATATATCACTTGTAATTTTTTTCTTAGTTACCATAGTGCTAGAAAACAGAGGAGCACTTTTGTTACACTTTGTTGATGTGGAAATCTTTAGCATTTATTTTTCAGAACCTTCTCTCTAGCCTTCTAAGATCTGCATTCCTCATTAAGTTCTAGTCACTCACTAACTTCTTGTACGGACTGCAGGCATGAGCACAGCAGCCTAGTGAGCACTCACTCAACTCAGCATCAGTTTCCAGGAATGATTTCATGTAGCCTTTGTGTTTTCCAGCTCACTCAAATTCAAGTATTTCTTCAGTGCTTACTGTGCAGACTAAACACCAATCTTTATTTATTAGTGAAAAACATTCAGCATTTTGTTTGCTGAAAGATAAGAAAAGCTATTGGTCTTTCCTTGAAGGTAGCTTTATCGCAATGGTTAGCTATCAAGACTTTGCTTATTTAGTATTATGTATAAAGTAAAATCATAGCTATCTGTAAATTCAAGGTGTCCTAAATTGACCCGGGGGGTATCACACTGAGCTATGCTTCCAGCACTTTTTATTTTTTATTTTGAGACAGAGTCTTGCTAAGTTGTCTAGGCTAGGCTTGCGTTTACAGTCCTTCTAGCCTCCCAGACTGCTGGAGTAAAGGCTTGGGCCACCATGCCTGGCTCTATATTGAATTTGATATTACTTATCACATCAAAACTTTGGTTTTTCTGAGAGATTTTAGGAGAAAAATTGGCAAGGTTTGGTGATAAGTTAGATGTGAACAAAGAGGTGAACTTCTATTTGTGACTTGCTTAGCTGGATTAATGCTTTACCGAATATCCCAACTCAACAATTTAGGAAAAGCTTATGTTTAGTATATGGTTCTACCATACTGATTTTAACTTCCCTTTCCTTGGCTAATTCCTAATGAAATGACCAAAAGAATCTATTAACAAAGAAAAAACACTGTTCATTCCAAATCTTTTTTACAAAAGTTGTTTGTTCTGATTGAGGAAGAAGTAAGGGTCAGGACCAGCTGTCATGGAGCAAGTCTTTCCCTGAACTTTCAAGAGGCTTGAAATTTGAGAAGTTTCTTAAAGGACCACTTCAACTCTGAGCAATACATGAAGGTTTTCCTCAGTAGCAGAAGCAAAAGTTAAAAAAGAGGAAGAAGAAGCAAAGGCAAATTTTGAGAAATCTTATTTCAATTTGGCATTCAAATAAGAGTAACAAAAAGAGGAAGTATTTAAAGTAAATACTTTGTGAAGCAAAATTAACCTTAGAAATTTAAGAGCTGAGCCCGGTGATACATACCTTTAATCCCAGCATTTGGGAAGCTGATGCAGGAAGATCACAAATTTGAGTCCTGCTGGGGATAAAAAGGGCTGGGGATGTAGCTCATCAGCTCAAACCTGTGTGTTTGATCCTCAGTACTGCAAAACCAAGACAAGGCAACAAAGAGAAAACTCAAAAGCCACTTAGAACATGCTTAGTTTCTACTTCAAGGTGATTCACATGAAACCTAGATGGGGGGGAACCAATACTAATGTTGTTCATCAAATGGGTTTGGCCTCCAGCTTCTAGAAACACAATGGGTGACTGCTGTGCCTGGCCTTCTTCAAAGGTAAAGACTTGCACTTACCTTATTTGGGTCTCTGAATAGGTAAATGGGGCAAATGTCACTTCTGAGAAAAGCTATGAGTACGCTTTCCTTTTTCTGACTTGAAGATAGTGCAAGCAGATCCTGTAACCGAAGGGAAACAAATCTCCTTTCCCTCCCTCATTGGATGGCTCAGATGGGTGAGAAATAAATTCTTTTTGTTTTAAATCAGTGATATTCAGAATGAGTTAGCATCGAATAACCTAATTTACTTTGGAAATACAATAGGTAGTTGAAATAGGAACATTATAACATTGGAAAAGAGAACTAAGAGATTAGTAGGATCTCTTAAGTTAAAACTGCAATAAAGGCAGTGTATGATTAATAGACTAATCATTCAAATAGAAGCTGTAGATATTTTCCCAAAACTCTTTGGAGAATAACAAATATAAAAACTATGATTGATAGAAATTGAAGTATATAAAACTTATAGGCCTAACTATACATAATAACACTTAAATATATATCTGTAGCACTATATACACTCATGTGATTGTATAATTATATAAAGTATATATAGTATAATATAGATGTATAATACATGCCTGGTGTCTATATAATATATGATATAGTTGTATTAATATATAAATATGTGAATAAATTAGTGCTGTGTATAACCAATATGATTTTATTTGTGGTATATGTTAATTAAAATATAAATCTTTAAATAAGGAGAGCAGGTAATTATTAACAGATAAACATTATCATTGAATAATTCAAGACAATTTCTAAGATAGCATAAAGGCCCTTCTCATAATTTTGCAAGCAAAATTGATGAAAATAGATCCAATCCTAAATTGTCTTCATATGTGGGTCACAGTTCTTAGCTGCAAGATACAGAATTCACTCTTGCTAATTTAAGCAAAAAGGGGATTTACTACAGAGCATTCTAATCACCCACAGATCACTCGAGGGGCTTGAGAGCACTACTTTACACAGCCAGGAATTGTACCTATGTTGGTTAGGGTTCTCTAGAGGAACAGCCCTCAACTACCAGTCTTCCCAAGGCTCAGTAGCTTTTATAATCCAGTAGTTGTGCCAACATCGCCTGTAGGAACCAAGCCGAGTGTGTGCCCCATTCATTAGAAGATGATTCTCTTGGGTGCAGCTGCCTCCCATTATGCTTACTTCAGAATTTCATTCTCTTGAGAGTCTATCTGATTGGTGGGATCTTAGTTGTGAGCTGGAAGAAAGCTGAAAGATGAAGGGATTTGGGGCTT